TTCTTCCTTCTCCTTCTGGGCGTATTTCCATCCCGCGTCGTTCCAGGGAACATGTGGTATCGTGTAAATCCTTGCTGGCTTAGCGTATCAAGGGTCGATCCTACCGCGCTCCGCGTCGCTGAAAGCTATTGTTTTATCACATGTCTTCAAAATTTCTATTACACGCCCTCGCTCCTGTGGGGTCAGATTTCCATCTCCGATGTCCATCCCTGCTATTCTCTCTTCCGTTAGGCGTTGCGGCTCCTTTTTCTTTCTTTCTTTGATTTCTCTTGCGATCTCTTCTTCCGATATCCCTTCTAGTGCAGATCGCTCGCGGCCCACCGCCGCTGGCTTAACTTTCTGTGCTACTCGTTTGTGTCGCTTGGGTTGCCCCCCATAGGGGGCCGTGCCCTTAAAAACGACACTCATACCACACCGCCAAATTCCTCATCTCTTCCTTTTGGGTACGAGTTACCGTCCACAATTAGCCGACTCCCTAAGTCTTCCACCTCCACCATCCGACCTTCTTCCTCTGTGAGCAGTGGTCCATATTTCTTCTCACGAAATCGCACCGCGCGGCTGGAGATAGGCAAAGACTTAATCTGATCACTGGGTCTTGCACCAACAGCGAGAGCTGCTCTGTTCCTCGGGTCCCGAGGCTCCACTGTCTCAATCATTACCCGCGTCCCGTCAAGCTTCTTAATGGACAATGTTTGGGTTCCATCTGGTCGCTCTATCGTCACCGCATGCACGTGGCTGAACCACGTTCGACCCAAGACCAGGTCAGAGCTGCAGTTCTTGACTGCAAAGACAGGCAGGGTCACTCGCACCCCTTGGACCTCTATGGCTGCCTTGTGACAAACCCCAGTGATCTGTTGCTTTCTCCCATCAGCCGTCTCTATCTCGAATAGGTATGACCTATCAAGGCCCAGTTCAACTTGTACCGCAAGGTCCTCGTCTATGATGACAGCTTCATTGCCGTTATCAATCACAACATCGAGTACCGCATCCTCGTTTATAATCGTCTCCACGGCCCCGCTACCGAGTATATAAAACTTGTCTGGAGGCACACCTTCCATTCCATCCAGAAGGACTGTCGCAATGCGATCCGCTCTGGCAGTCACTCCAGTTACTGTTACTGTAGAAGCTTCCGCCTTAGGGGCGTAACCCTCCTCCGATAGAGGTATGCGAGTCTTTCGCGTGATCATTTGTAACTCATCACGAGCCGGCTTCGATGCCGCCAGGTACTCCAGAATAGAGCACTGCATGGGTTGTCGAAGGGCCCGCCTCAATGGCTCGACCGTGTCAATCTCGTCCAGCGAGCTCTTCATTAGGAACTTCTTCACTCCCCGCTTTCGCGGCGAAAGGATAACCTCCTCTCCATCGATCCGCTGCCCGTCCTTCTCCGCCATCACGTAATCCGTGTCAGTCTTCTTTGATGTAGACCCTCTCGCCGACTTGGTGGCTGCCACCCTAATGGGTGTGGTCGCCATATCCCCCTCAAAGGTTATCTTGATGCTCTGGCCCCTGACCGGCTCCATTCCTTTACTCGTTTTTATTCTTCTTGCTTCGACATTCTCCTTCATAGAAGGGAACATCGATACATCTCCGAGATCATCAGCCCACTTGACGTACTTGCGGTCGTCAAGCATGACAAGTCCCTCTTCTATTGCCCGTTTAAGGTCTGGGCAATCCCTCTTGATATGATCTTCTCCCCTACAATAGACGCATGAGTTCCTGGGAGTAGACGCCCTGTCGTCTGCGCCCCTAGACATCGATTTTCTTGCCGCGTTGGGGTCAGGCGACTTTGGATATVGTTCTGATGAGACACCATATCCCCCTCTCTCATTCCGACTGCGCGAATCATTGCGCCGCTCTCCTCCAGACCCTCCTTGCTCATACTGCCCTCGCGAGTCATTTCGGCGGTCCCTCGAGTCATAGTGTCCTCGTGACTCATCGCGTCGGTCCCCTCGGTTGTACCATCCTCGCGTCTCGTCGCGCTGCTCTCTCGCTTCTCCCCCGCGCTCAAACCGTCCACGTGACCCTTCTTGTCGTTCCCAATCCCTATCTCCTCTCTCATATCTACT